GCTACACTAACAAACAAACTAACTACTAGAACAGGTAATAGTAACAAAGTGAGGGATTTCCTAACGAGTCTGCTGAGCTCCGTCTCAGGCCGGGGACGGTAGAGAAGGAACTGAGGAGACTGGCCACGCATGCGCACTATTATCCTAGACTCACTGCGGGGGGCAGCCTCTGCGCATGTGTGGCCAGTACGAGTACTGCTACGAAAAGTCTCCGAGTGAAGGCGCAGGGACGCACCAACACCTAGAGTGGAGCACCCACAGGGACATCTCTCGAAGAAGAAGAGAATAAATCCTATTTTTCCACCCTGCCTGAGAACTCTGTTGGAGATTGCTGGTCTTGCTGGCTCTGAATGTGTTTAGTTTAGTCTTTGCTGCTGATGTTATTTAAGTTATACATTGATGTGCTGCATAATGTACAAGACATAGATAATCCTTGTCCAGCAGATGTCCCCAAAACACAATAAATTAAACCTATTGCAATATATTTTAATAAAAAATGTCAGCTTTTACAAGGAATTTGTCATGTCCTGATGTATCCTAAAAATTTTAGATAATTTCCAGTACTGTAATAAATGAAGACTTAAATGAAACCATTACATACCATCAGATGTGTCTGTCTGTGGAGTGTATCCCTCAGATAAATTAAAGGTCCCATTATCAGTCCAAGATACCTCTGATACATCTGTGTCAGACACCGATAGCTCTTTAGCAATAACTGTAGGACTAATCTATAAATATATAAAAATACATGAAATGTGGCATTTTTACATTCAGAGAATTCATTTTACAGTTAAGTTAATGCCTAGACACTGAAAAACAATGTAATACATCTTGCTTGTGATATTACATAGACCAGGGTGGGCAAACTACAGCCCAGGGACCGCATCCAACCCTTCAGACATTTTAACCTGACCCTCGAGCTCCGGTCGGGGAGCAGGGTTGGGGGCTTGCCCAGCTCCGCGTGGCTCCTGATAACAGCAGCATGTCTCCCCTCCGGCTCCTACACGTAGGGGCAGCCAAGGGGCTCAGTACGCTGCCCCCGCCCCAAGTCCCGTCCCCACAGCTCCCATTGGCCGGGAACCATAGCCAATGGGAGCTGCAGAGGCAGGACCTGTGGACGGGGCAGCATGCAGAGCTGCCTGGTCACGCCTCTGAATAGGAGCTGGAGGGGGGACATGCCATTGCTTCTGGGAGTTGCTTGAGGTAAGCGCCAGCTGGAGCCGCCCCCCCGACCCCTCCCCAACCCCATGGCCCAGCCTTGATCCCCCTCCTGCCCTCCGAACTCCTTGGTCCCAGCCCAGAGCACTCTCCTGCACCCCAAACCCTCACCCCCAGCCGCACCCCAGAGCCCGCACCCCCAGCTGAAATCCTCACCCCACCCCCACCCTCACCCCCCAACCCCTTTTCCCCAGCCCAAAGCCCCTTCGCGCACACTGAACATCTCATTTCTGGACCCACCACAGAGCCTGCATCCCCAGCTGGAGCCCTCCCCCACGCCCGCACCCCAACCCCCAATTTCATGAGCATTCATGGCCGGTCATACAATTTCCATACCCAGATGTGGTCCTCGGGCCAAAAAGTTTGCCCACCCGACATAGACATTCTCCCCTGCTTAAATGTAGAAACCAGTAGATAACACTTACAATACATCTATGCTGCAGCTGGGAGCATGTTTCCCAGCTTAGGTAGACAGACATGTGCTAGCTCTGCTTGAGCTGGTGTGCTAAAAATAGCAGTGTAGCTGGGGGTAGCACTGGTGGCAGGTTAGGCTAGCTACCTGAATATGTACTCAAGGGGGCTGGGCAGGTTTGTACTCAGGTGGCTGGCCCAAGATACTGCCCAAGCTACTCCCCAGCTACAATGCTATTTTTAGAGCACTAGCTTGAGCAGGGCTAGCGCATCTTTCTACCTGAGCTGGGAAGTTGCAGTGTAGATGTACCTTAGTGGTATGATGTATTTGAACGTATGCAATTATATAACACATTTTGATGTCTCTGATTTTATCCCTGCTTGTTGCTCCAGCCTCCTTTCCCACCACTTGAAATCCGACTATGCTAAGGAAGTCTGGGAAAACACCTTGTTTATAGATATATAGTCATTGTTTCTCAGTCATATTTTATATAGATGCTTATTCTATTTGCAATAAGAACTGCAGCACTCTGCAAATACAGCATGTGTATTCATGCTTTATACACACAGCAAAACCAAACCTAGCTCAACTTGAAAATAATTATTCTGATGGTGTTTTATCTACACATGTCCAGTCACACTAGCTACAGTTTTTTATCCTATTGAAAAAAACCCTTATGCTTCAGAGCACAAAACTACCATTAAGTGCTCAGGATTGACTTCCTCTACAGCATCTGTTGTCAGAGTCAGGTTTCAGGACATCATGGACTATTTGGTCTAATCCAGTATGGGAATTCCTAGTCCTAATCATTTATATCAAATAATTGTCATTTAATGCACTCTCTCTGACTATACTGAGAAGAGCCATGGTATACATTATACAGCATACTAACATAGGCTGGATGTATTTTGAAGTCTTTTTGTTGTATGTATTACCAAAGCTACATAACTCTACAAAGGCTGCATGGTATAATCATTTGCATGCAATGTAACACCATGTTACAAGTGGTCATATGAGTTTAAATGATTCCACAAGTCTTTGACAAATTATGTGGTTTAACTATAAAAAAGTTGTTACTCATCTTGTGTCCCCCTGTGGAGGTTTTGAGAGGTGTGTCCCTGTGGGTGCTGCACTGTAGGTGTGTCTGCATCCCTGGGCTGGTGATCAGAGAACTTTGGTAGCACATGCACTGGCTCTCCTCATTCTGCGCCATGAGGCTAGCCAGTATGCACAGGCTATCCATCCTTCTCTACCACAGAGTCCCATATTGGGAACTCTGAAGGAGAAGGGTGGGTTGCAGAGCACGCCTAGGGACACACATCTCGAAGAACCTGTTTCTGCACAAGGTAACTACTTCTTCGAGCAGCGTCCCTATGGGTGCTCCACTGTAGGTGACTCCCAAGTAGAGTACCCCTTTTGGAGGGCTGGGACTTCGGAGTCGGGTAAGTTACAGATGACAATACTGTGGAGCCGAATATGGCATCAGAGGCGAGTCCCCAGTAATTGCATAGTGCTCTGTGAAAGTGTGGACTGACACCCATGTCCCTGGTCTGCAAATCTATGAGATAGGGACATCCTTGAAGAAGGTGACAGATGAGGAAATGGATCTTGTGGAATGTGTACGGATCGAGTCTGGAGGGGTCACACTGCGAATTTGGTAGCATTGTCTGATGCAATTCGAGACCCACTTAGTGAGTCTTTGGGCTGATGTTGCTGAGCCCTTGGATCTTTCCGCCACAGGAAGTAAGAATATGGGACTTCCTGAAGGCCTTTTTCCTATCAAGGTAGAAAGCTAGGGCTCTCCTAACAGCTAGGGAAGTGGTCCTCAACCCTTCCAAACTACTGTACCTCTTAAAGGAGTCTGATTTGTCTTGCGTACTCCAAATTTCACCTCAGTTAAAAACTACTTGCTTACAAAACCAGACATAAAAATACAAAGAAGTGTCACAGCACACTACTACTGAAAAGTTGCTTACTTTCTCATGTTACCATATAATTATAAAATAAAGCAATTGGAATATAAATATTGTACTTTTACATTTCAGTGTATAGTATATAGAGCTGTATAAACAAGTCATTGTGTGAAATTTTAGTTTGTACTGACTTCGCTAGTGCTTTTTATGTAGCTTGTTGTAAAGCTAGGCAAATCTCTAGATGAGTTGATGTACCCCCTGGAAAACCTCTGAGTACCCCCAGGTTGAGAACCATTGATTTAGGGTATATAGTATGGCATCCCTATTGTCTTGGTGAGGCTTGGATAGAAGACAGGAAGGTGAATTGATTGATTCATGTGAAACTGAGAGGCTCCTTTAAGGATTAATTTTGGATGTGGCCTAAGTGTAACCTGTCTGGAAAGAATACTGTGTAAGGTGGAAGCACCATCAGAGCTGCTATCTCCCCTATTCTTCTAGCTGAGGTAATTGCTATCAGGAAGGCAGTTTTCATCGATAGGTACGTTAACAAAACAGGTGGCCGTGGGTTTGAAGGGGGGCCTAGTCAGGTTTAGGTCCCATGTGGGGATAGGAAGCAGACGTTGAGGAAAGAGGTTTATTATACCCTCAAGGAACCTTTTAGTGGTTGAGTGCGACAGCACTGAGTATCCTTGTATGGGTTGGTGAAAAGCTGTGATAGAAGCTGTGAAGAATCCCTAAGTTGGGATGTAGGGTACGTCCTTCAGCCTGTGAGAGGAGGGGTGGAAAGGTCAGGAAAGAGATCTGCGGGCACGCTGTGAGCTGTGTCAGGTAAAGCTACCAGGTCTGTCTTGGCCAAATAGAAGCAATCAGGATGACGTGAGCTCCATCCCTTTTTATTTTTAGCAGAACCTTTATCAAAAGAGGAAATGGGGGAAAGGCATAAAGAAGGTCCTTGTTGCAGGGGAGGAGAAGAGCATCGCCCAGAGAGTACTGTCCCATCTCCGCCCTGGAGCAGCAGTGTGGACACTTCTTGTTCTGGTAAGTGGTGAACAGGTCTATGGATGGTGTTCCCTATTGTTTGAATAGGTCATGGAGTACTGATAGGCACCTCCAACTTGTGATCATGCGGGAATTTGTGACTGAGGTTATCCGCTATCGAGTTCTGAGTGCTGGGAGGTAAGCCGCAGACAAAGTGACGTTGTGAGAGATGTACCAGTTCCATAGTCTCATTGCCTCCGTGCATAGGAAGGGTGACCTGCCCCCCCCCGAAGGTTGATGTAGTACATGCAGGCTATTTTGTCTGTTTAGGATCTTTGTATGTGATCCTGCTATCAGAGGGAGGAAATGGGTGCAGGCATTCCTGATCACTCTCAGTTTGAGGAGATTGATGTGCAGAAGCCATTTAAATGTGCACCCTACCATACGAGTGATGCGTAGATGGTAAGGAGCAACGATGGTGATGTCTGCAAGGTGATCACTTTGCATGTACTGGCTGGGTCTAAGGCAGTGGTGGGCAACCTGCAGCTTGCGGGCCACAATGTGACTCATCAGGGTAATCTGATTGTGGGCCATGAGACATTTTGCTGATGTTGACCATCTGCAGGCACGCCCCCCCACACAACTCCCAGTGGCCATGGTTCACCATTCTTGGCCAATGGGAGCTGCAGGAAGTGGTTGGCCACAGGGATGTGCTGGCCACTGCTTCCCGCAGCTCCCATTGGCCGGGAAAGGCAAACTGCGGCCACTGGGAGCTGCGGGGGTCATGCCTGCGGACTGTCAACATCAGCAAAATGTCTCACGGCCCGCAATCAGATTACTCTGATGGGCCACATGCGGCCCGTAGGTTGTCCACCACTGGTCTAAGGAGTGCGGGGAGGTAACTCACACTTCCACCAGTCTAAGGAGTTTTTGACTGGTAGGTAGTGACAGGGGTTTGTCCAGCCTGTCCCCGTTTGATCTGTGAACCAAACTGAACTATAGTTGGAAGTATCACATGTGGAGTCTGGTGTGTGGTATCACAGCTGTTCCTGCCACCATATGCCCCAATGGTTAGAGGCAGTCTGGCTGGTATCTGTGGACTGCACTGAGCCGTGTATGAATGAGACCAGGGATAGGAACCTGTGTTGAGGTAGGAAGGCTTTGGCCTGTAGAACATCAAGGTCGGCCCCTATGAATTCCAGGTGCTGCACTGGCCTGAGGGTTGAATTCTGGGTATTGATCTGTAAGCTCAATTCTGTAAACAAGTGTATCGTGGTCTCGATGAGCCTCCTGAAGTGATCAGGCTCTGAGGAGACAATTGTCCAGGTATGGGTAGATCATTATCCCTTGCGAGTGTAAATGAATGGCTACCACTGGGAGAACTTTGGAAAATACTCTTGGGGCCAATGAGAGTCCGAAGGGAAGACTCTGTATTGGTAATGGCCAGGTCCCAGAGTGAATCTGAGAAATCGTCTGTGAGCAGGTAGGATTGAAATGTTAAAGTAGACGTCCTGTAGGTCGAGGGCTGAAAACCAGTCTCCCTGGTCCAGTGATGGAATAATCATCGATAATCTGACCATCTTGAACTTCTGAGCTTTGACAAACTTGTTGAGAGTCTGAGGTCCAGCATGGGTCTCCAACCTCTCTTTCTTTTGGGTATTAGGAAGTAACAAGAGTAGAACCCCTTGCCTCATAGATCAACTCCTCCAGTTAGGATCCATAGAAGGAGTACCTCAACATCTATCTCCTGTCGTAGTAGACTCTCGTGAGAAGGGTCCCTGAAGAGGGACAGGGAAGGGTATTGTGGAGGGGGCAGAGAGGTGAAGTGGATAGAGTATCCAGATCAGATGATCTCTAAGACCCATCTGTCTGATGTTACATGTTCCCAGGCACTGTGCAACGCTGCCAAATGGGTGCATAATCATAGTCAGTTGCAGGGAGTGGTCTTGTGGCACCTCAATCTGCCCATCAAAAGTGGTGCTTACAGGAAGGTGACTGGGTTGAAGATTGTGGACTGGATGGCCTGAGCTTCGGGAATTTCCCCTTTTTTCTTTGCGGCTCATAATGGCGCTGTTATGGGAATTGAGTCATATATGGTCTGTGTTGGGATTGGGCGCTAAACTGTCTCTTTTGCCCTGGTGTATAGATTCCCAGCAACCTGAGGGTGGCCCTGGAATTCTTCAAGGTATGGAGGGAGGCATTGGTCTTCTCAGCAAAGAGCTTTGCATCCTTGTAGGGGAGGTCTTCTATTGTGGTCTGCATCTCCTTTGAATTCTGACAAGTGGAGCCATGTTCCATCACCACAGCCGTGGAGATGGATCTAACTGCCATGTTGGTGGCGTCGAGGGCTGACTGTAGCAATGTTTTTGCCACTAGTTGTCTCTCCTGGATGATGGCCTTGAAGGATTCCTGATGACTCTTTGGCAGTTTATCAATAAAGTCATTCAACTTATTGTCGTTTGTGTAATCATATTTTGCCATGAGCGCTTGATAGTCGGCAATGCGGAATTGTAAGGAAGATGAGGAATACACCTTTCTGCCAAATAGATCAAGGCGCTTCCTATCCCTGTTGTAGGATGTTGCCCTGGAATGGTGTTGTTGGCCAAGGGAATTCACGGCATCTACCACGATGGAATGGTGGTGGGTGGGAGAAAAGGAACTCTGATTCCTTTGTGAGGAAATAATATTTCTTGTACGCATGCTTGCACATTGGGACTATCGATGCCGGGGTTTGCCACACCGTTTTAGCCAGGTCTAAGACGGCTTCATTAATTGGGAGGGCGATCTTCAAGGAGGATATCAAGGAGCTGGTGTGTATCCTTGACCTCCTCCAGTGGATGGAAGGACAGTTGTAAAGGCATGACCGCTTCATCCGGGGAAGAGAATATGGCTTTAGATGTTACTTCTTCCGTGTCAGCCTCTTGTTCCTCCATTTCCTGAGGCTCTAGTTGCCGTGGCCAAAGGAGTGTTCTGGGAGGGTTTTCGGGCAAGGCTTGAAGCTTGCGAGGCAGGCTCTCGATGTGCCACCTACGGGTCCCAGTATGGCCATTATGGTGGCATAGGGCCTGGTGGAGGTTTCCATAGGTGGCTGTACCAAGATGGTGGTGGTATACCATCTGCTGGTACATTCCCAGATCCTGTTGATAGTCGGTCGCATATGGAGCTTGGGAGGAGTCCTGTGATACTTCCTCTGTCTCACTGTCTCACACCTCACTAGATAGTGGAGGGGCATGATATGATTGCAGGGATATCCTCTGTGCCCAGCAAAAACATGATACCCTGACGATGGTACTGAGCGGTGGAGACTCAGGTGCCTCCATTATGCAGAAGTCTCTGGTCTGGTGGAATTCTGCTGGTACCGATCCTCCTGGTGTCAGGGAGATGGAGACCTTTTCTGTACCGTTCTCTCCGGTGCCGGGTGGGCTATTGTCACTAGCAGTACCGAGGTCGACTTGCATACTAGGAGCATCTTCCTAGGCTGTTTGTCCTTATCTTTCAGTATTGATGATTCAGTGCCCATGCCCAATGGGCCTGTGGGCAGTACTGGATACCAATGGTTGCCATGAGGTGTGAGTGCCGGATTGAGATCTCGGTGCTGAGTATACCAAGTGAGATGACTATTGCTTATGGCTATCCCTAGGCTCACTGAGGGGACTTCCTGATCTCTTTTTTGACTTGACAGAGGAGTCCCCATTCCGTTTCCTCGACCCACTGTCCTTCAAAGTTGAAGGCTGTGGGGAAGACCGGCCACCGGAAGGTTGAGCTCAAAGAGCTGCCTCCATGAAGATATTTTTTTGGTGAAGCTCTCTGTCCTTGAGGGATTTCGGCCAGAGCTGCTGGTAGAGGGTACACCTTTGTTTGATGTAGCCCTCGCCCAGGCAGTTGATGTACTGAAAGTGCTTGTTCGGAACAGGGATCGCCTTGCTGCAAGTGCGGCACTTCTTGAAGCCGGAGAACTGGGCATACCCTTTTTGGGGGGAGGGGGTGTCCTCCCGCCCACCGGGGGTTGACAAAAGAATAAAGTCCTTTTCTTTTTTAAGGCAACAGGTAAGAAAAGCAAATGAAGAAAAGAGGCTTCAGAGGAAGCTAAAAATTGCAATTGTAAAAGGGGTTAACGATCTGTGAACAGACAGCTAATAGCTCCGTCACTAGTTGAGAAAGAACTAAGGACAGTTAGCCCGTGCATACTGGCTAGCCTCCTGGCACAGCACGAGGAGAGACAACGCATGTGCTGGCTCAACAGACACTGCTACCAAAGTTCTATCAGCAGCGCAGGGACGCAGGCAGGGACGCAGTGGAGCATCCACATGGACACTACTTGAAAAGAATGTTTCTTTACATATTTTGAGGTTAGAGAGGGGGTGCTGCAAATAGCAAAATGAATTTGCTTTACAATGATGTCAGTTGGGCCTCTAGGCACTATTGTAATAATAATAAGCATCTGTATCTCCACTCCTGAGAAGTGGGATAGATTCAATTGCTGTGAAATTCTGGTATAGTCCTTATGCAGCCAATATCATAGGGGTGTAACATCTTGTAGCTTCCCCAGATGAATAGCCACGTGGGCCAGATATTTGGGGGACCTGTAGTCATAGATGTGGTTAGTTTCTGGGTCAATTTCTCAGGATGGAGACAATGAGAGTCACTTTTAGAACATGATGTGATGCACATGGCTGTGTTCCTGGTCAGCAACAGCATCTCTCTTATTAGGAGGGAAAAAAACTAGTCTTTCATAGAGCACAGAGACCAAGAGAAGTTTTCATGCTCTTCAGTGCTTTTTTACATAAAAGAACTGACTAAAATCCAGTCACCTTAGGACACAGGGCTGATATGTCTAATTCACTGTCATCTTCCAGGGATTTTGGTTTTGCGGTTTCTGAAAGAAAGAAAATTACAGTTAGTTATTTTCTATCCTACCCTGATGACCAAGCATTTCTGAGTTATTTCTATTGTCTCTATTGAGCTCCTTAAATAATTCAATCATATTATGGGCTTCATTTGTTAACACAATGAATGATTTATATATTATATACAATAGGCTGGTGTTGTAAAACAAGCTGACTCAGAAGCTGGATATTTATTGAGCTATTATTCTGTAGCATCTATAGCTGGAGAGACAACATTCGTCTGCACTGTCTTGCCACATACTCATCTGCCTTTATTACGTTTATTTCTTTTAAAAACCTGTTGCTCCTTGCTGTGCGAAGTGCTTTGAGACTATACATTCCTGAAACTACAGTGTGAGTACAAGTTAACACAAATTGAACAATTCAAGTAACTACAATTCAAAACTATGCCTTCCACATAGCTAGTCTGGTGTTGAGATGGTTGTATTTTATGGATTTAAAACAGGCAGTGGGTATGCAAGCTATGCTATTTTCATACCGATTAAAATGTATGTAATTTCTGGATATGTGCATATAGGTCTTCATGCACAGGATTTTCCCCTCCTTTGTTAGGGTTACCATTCGTCCGCATTTTCCCGGACATGTCTGGCTTTTTGGGTTAAAAATAGCGTCCGGGGGTGAATTTGTAAATTGCTACAAATGTCCGGGATTTCCCCCCATGCAAAGCGCAGCCGGGCTGCAGGAAATTCAGCCACTCGCATGGGGCTCCGGCAGCCAGAGCCCTTCCGCTGCAGCTTCAGATCAGCTGCCAGAGTACAGCCCGGCCAATGTAGAGCTACTCCCCTCCCCTCCCTGCATTCTTAGATCGCCGGCCGGCCAGGCCGTTCGCATAGGGGCTCGGCAGCTCCTCCTCCTCCCCTGCTCCCCCTCCCCTGCTGCCCAGTGCCCCGCTCTGGCAGCACTGTGTGGGGGCAGGGACCGGGTTGTGCGTTGCACTGGGGAGCGCAGCCACGTGTTGGGCTCCACGCGGAGCCCGACATGCTGTTCTGAGTGGCAGGATAAGTGGGCCAGGGGGCTGGAGAAGGGGCAGGGGGTTTCTGGAGGGGGCAGTCAAGGGATAGAAAGTAGGGGAGATTGGATGGGTCAGGGGGTCGGGGGAGGTGTTGGGAGGAGTCGAGGCAGGCAGGGAGCAGAGGGGGTTGGATGGGTCGGGAGTTCTGGGGGTCCTGTCGGGGGTGGGGAGCGGTTGGATAGGGCGTGGAGTCCCGGGGGTCTGTCTGGGGGCGGAGGTGTGGATAAGGGTCGGGGCAGTCAGGGGACAAGTAGGGTCCTAGGGGGGCAGTTAGGGTGGAGGGTTCTCAGGAGGGGGCAGTCAGGGGACAAGAAGCAGGTCCTAGGGGGGCAGTTAGGGTGGAGGGTTCTCAGGAGGGGGCAGTCAGGGGACAAG